AAACAAAACAGACCTAGGCATATCAGCCAGTTCTGGGGCTCAGGAGGGCTTGGACTGAGGCTGTCCTCTCCTAGATTGGGGGGGGGTAGCCTATGCTGGCCCCCTCAGCTCTGCCTGGGAGTCCTTGCTAGAGTTTTGTCATTGACTGGCAGGAATTTCCCCTGTTAGAAGCCAAAGGGATGGAGCCCAAAATGCTTGGCACCCTGCATAGTGGGCAAGCCCTGGGCAGAACCCCAGCAAAGGCTGGGGGAGGCTGCGAAGGAGAGCCTTGCAGCTGAAAGAATTGTTTTCCTTGTTAGCAGCCCACCTTGGAGGGTGGGGGCGGCCCTGCCTCCTAGGATGCAGTCCTCTGCAAAGCTCCACAAATGAACAGGATTGTGTGTCTGGTAGGAACAAGATTGTGTGTCTTGCTCTCCTAGAGCTGCCAACAATGAATCCAGGGAAAGAGCAGGAGAAAAGGCATCTTGGCATAATGTTGTGAAATCAGACCATGGAAACCCTAACAAACCCCTAAGTAAGTGTGACCAGAAGCTTCCTATTATATTTATAGTTCAGGAAATATTGTCTCTTCAGCTTGTGGAAACAAACGAGACCCTGCACATTTCCGCCGCCTTCTCCTACAAGTCCAGGAGGAGCCCGTACACACACACACACACACACACACACACACTTCTTCCCCTGGCTCAGGCTGGACATCTTCATAAAGCTCTCAGTAGCAGCCTTTCTGTTTTCTAAGCTAGTTCCTCTGCAAAAGCAACCAGAAAGAATGCACGAGAAGAAAGAACTTATCTACCAAAGGAGCAGATAAACAGCCATCCTCTTTATTATGCTTCCTATGAACATAGGAAGAAAGGAAAAAATCCCTCCAGTAAGGCTCGCATGGGTCTGATTGGATGCTGTATTTTTTTCAGTCACTTAACTCCTTGTGGCTTGACCTCCTCTCTTAAATTCTACCTAAGTTTTCTGAAGATTAAAACAGACAGAAATAAGCAAGCTGTCAATACTGCTGGCCTGTAATTTTTAAATTTCTAGGAAAGATTCTCTATGGTGGGTGGTGAGTGATGCTGGATATGACTTCAGCTTTTGTGTCCACTCCCACAGCCCAGGGTGGGATGTGACCACGGGCGTGGCATGATGCTTTGTCGATGCCAGCTACTCAGCGCAAAGCCACCAGCTTCCTCCATCACTTTCTTTCTGCTTCTAATTCCAGTCACCAAGAAATCATCCAAGCAAGATCACCGAATGAGGAACCAAGATAAAACTGTATCCCAGTATTTTCCAGGAAAGACATGAAACTCAGGGCAGCAAAACCAAGTCCAGAATCCTTTCAGACACACAGAATAGTAAAAACAGACCCCCACGCCCGTGCAGAGTCTGAATTCCGGTTCCCACTAAGCTGTGGGTACATCTTCCTGATTTATTTTGATAGGTTTCACAGAAGGACTGTAGGGTTTCCTCACCTTGCCACTACTTATGAGAAGTGACACTTGCCAGAGAGTTTTCGAGTATTTCTAAACAACTTCCCAGGTTTTACTGTTGGGACACTGATTTGGGGACATCTGTTGGACTTGGGTTTTGGGTAGGCAGCCTTTGCCAGTAGTTGACTGAAATCCCAAATCTGTACTTCCAGGAACATGTTCACCAAGAGCCCTTCATAAATTTCTTTAAGAACTAACACTTGCCAAAAACTCCCCAGCTCCCAAGAAGCAAAGCAGATCCCATTTCTTTGGTTTTGTTTCGTTTTGTTTCTGAATGCAGGTGGAGAAGTTGGTTTAATTCCTCAGATGGGATTAGAGAAATCTGCTAAGTCCTTTGTGGGTACCCATCCAGAAAGAGACCCCAGGACAGACCAAGGCATCCCCAACCCCTTGGCTTAGTGCTGCCATTCAAGAATATGGAGGGCTGGGGCCAGGATGGAATCGCACCCAGGAAAAATTTTTCTCTCCTTACTTCACCCATTGGTGCAATCTTAGAGACTGTTTTGGAAATCATAGATTATGTAAATTTCCTGGGATCAAACAGAAAGAGCAGCTAACAAAAGAAAGGCGGAAATCTCCTACTGACAAACGACCCATTTCTTCCCTAAACTGCCCTTTATGATGTGTCAGGAAAAACAACCTACTGTCTCCGGAGACTTTTAAGTTGGGCATTGAAGACGCCTCGATTTCCACCCCCCAAACTTTAGGGCACAGTTTGGGAGAGAGAATCCGTCTGTATATTCAGGCGGAGTAATTTCTCTCCTCTTTAGTGTCACCTAGGGGGACGCCTAAGTCGCCTTTTGAGGGTCCCCTGCATAGACGTTTCAATCCTGGAAAGAAGGGAGGCAGAAGAAACGCAGGGCGGAAGAAAAGAAAGCGCTTTCACCCCTTTCAATTAGCCTGGGATTCAAAGACTAAAGTTAAATCCGGCCATAAAGTTTATTGCTTCAGACTCACAGGCGGGTGAGAACAGTTCCAGCGAAATAAAAAGAACGTGCAGGCCTGGCCCCGGATGCGGGGGAGGGGATGCTGAGCTCTCCCCCCCTCCCCGCCCCCGCGCCCCGACCCCCAGAAGGGGACCCGGGGTCCCCAGCGTCAAGTGGGTGCCAGTAGACTGGGCTTGGCCTGGCAAGCCGAGGCCCAGCCTGGCGGTGCAAACCCGCGCCTCGCCGGCCTCTGCCACCCTCACCAGCCGGCCTGAAACCTGGCCCCGAAGGCCGCCGCCTCAATTCAGCCCTGCCAAATGACCCCGGCCCGCGAAGACATATTGCCACCGCCCCGTAAGGAATCCCGCCAGGGTCCGCCGCCGCCCTGCCCCGGCCTTTCTTTGCAACTCGAAAGCGCAGCGCAGCCCTAGGCGCCCGCGGACGGCGCCCTGCTGTCTCCCAGCCCCCACCCCAGGGCGCCACGACCCCCGAAGAGCAGGGACCTTCCAGGCCGGGAGCTGGGGAGGGGGGAAGCGGAGAGTGCTAAGTCTCCACACACAGGCCCGTTCGCCTACAAAAATCCTAGTTTGCACGCCGGCGGCAGCAGCGGAAGTCATTACCGTCCGCGGTGGTGCAGCGATTAAAGTTAGGCCTGGGAGGCGCGCGGCCACGGGCGCGGTGCCCCGCGCGGCCTGAGCAAAGCAGGAGTTGGCGCTCTCTCTCTTCGAATTTAGAGGCAGCCTCAGAGTTACTGCACCAGAGAGAGAGAGAGAGAGAGAGAGAGAAAGAGAGAGAGAGAGAAAAGTTTTCAAGAGCACAAATAAACTCGAAAGCGCTCAGGAGGCGAGCTTACCTTAACTGGAAGGGAGCCATTGTTCAGGGAGTTTTGAGAACTTGTGGTTTGGACACTTCTGGACCTAAAATTGACCACGTGAATGACCAGGCGGGCACACGTAGCCTGCAAAAGAGTCAAATGGAGTCCAGCGTCAGTGAGATTATATGTTATGTGGTATATAATGTTGGATGTCAACTCCCCAAAACCATAAAACTTGCTTTAATGGCCTCACGTGACGGTTTATAGCCAGTGAGCCGACCTGCCTGCGCTATGGATGATTTTACGATCTAATTCATAGACAAAACCCTATTCATTTGGCACCCAAATGTCATCTAGCCGGAACTGGGGCTTATAAAGTTTACTGTTTTATAACTTTTAAAAGGAAAGGCGGCATCAGTGTAAGCAGTCGGTAAAAGTGCAAATCTCTAGTGGCGCTTTAGCCGCTCTGAGGAGTTTCCCAATCGAGCTAGGATGGGGTAAGTACCTTCCATTTGTAGCAAATTAAACGTAGCGGAGTGAGGCGTGGGGCAGGGGCGCTGGGCTGGGTGCAGGGCCCAGGGTTGGGTGCCCAGCAGCTGGCAGAGCGGGGCCTGGGCAGTGGAGGCCCAGCACACAGCCTCAGGGCAGAGGCAGGCTCTGTGTGGGCCCCAGGGCGGCTAACAAAGCCAGGAGCTCTTCCTCGTCCTCTCTCTCTCTTCCTTCCTTTATTTTGTCCCCAGTAAGTGCACTTCCTTTCCTCAGAGGTGGGCAGGGTGGACTCAGGCTTTGGAACTGCCTACAGCTCTTCCACCCTCTGCCCGGACGGAACGTTCTGGTGGGGCCAGAGGTAGGGAGGCGGCGGGTTGGGGTGCTGGTCTGAGGTCCCCAGGCACAGGCAGGCTGCTCAGGTGGCCTCAGACTCACCAGCTGCCAGGACTGGACAGACAGACAGAGAAGCAGAAAAAGTCGCTCGCTATTTGGCACAAATCAGACCAAGAGAACTTACAATAGAAAGTTTATTTTTTTTGTTTCCAGTCAGTATTTTTTTTTCCTTAAAAACAAATACCAAAAAAAAAAAAAAAAAAGCTGATCACAGTTTGCTTAACAGCCAGACTTGGACAATATTTGTAATTTGTTCACAAAAACATACATCACTGAAGCTGCGCTTATAAGAGCCACTTCCAGAGTCCGTGCAAAGGGTCCTACAAGGCACGCAGGGACACACCGCTTGGAGTCACAGTTTCTGTCACAGTTACTAGCACTACACGTCGAACAAGTTAAGTTGTGTCTCATCAAGTCACCTCTATAACAGCAATAATTACACAAGGAATATAGGTAGTCTGAATAAAAATATCTTTAAACAGCTTGGAGCTATTGAGACAGGAACACTTGCACGCACATGCACAGTTAAACAACTTGAGTGCAACACACAACATTGGCACTAAACGAGGTCGAAGGGGGACTTTTTTGTGTGTTTTTTCGCTTTTCTTTTCTGTTATAGTTACTTCAAGTAACACAGCTTGCTTCATATAAATAAGTTAAAACATCTATTTTTTTTTTTCAAGACAAAGCCATTCAGGACAAAGAGGTGAAGAGAAAGCAGATCTACTTATACAGGCGCTATAAATGGCAATAAACAGGCTCATGATTAAAAGATGAATCAGGGCAACGAGAACAGGGCCTCTTCACAGAAGGAACACAAGGGAGTTTCTGAAAGTCACCTTAGTACTGACACTACGCGGGATCCGCTAATACTGCGCAGTACTCGCGAGGCGCAAAGACTCAGGGGCGGAAGGCACCCCCCGCCGCCGCCATGCTCATGCTTTTCAGCTTATTATCTTTTTTCCACTTCATTCTCCGGTTTTGGAACCAGATTTTAATCTGTCTCTCGGAGAGGCAAAGAGCATGTGCTATCTCAATCCTCCTGCGGCGGGTCAGGTAGCGGTTGAAGTGGAACTCCTTCTCCAGCTCCAGCGTCTGGTAGCGCGTGTAGGCCGTCCGGGCCCTTTTGCCTTCCGGGCCGCCTATGTTGTCTGCAACAGAAAAGTCAGCGCTTTTTAGCCCTTGCCCTGCAGAGCCCGCCGGCCGCACCCGGCCGCGCTCCCGGGCCCAAGGCTCAACAAGTCCTCCCTGCTCGCCCGCATTTCCTCCCCTCTTCCTTTCTAGAGACCAAACAATAAGATCTGGACTCTGGGCTGCAGCCGCGTCCCCGAGGACCGGCCAGCTGGCCCTCGCCGCTCTCCTGCCCTCGGGCCTGGCCCCGGGCGCCCCAGAGAGCCTGAGGCACAGCCCTTCCAGACCGCCCACCTCTGGGAAGCGCACCGCAGCGCGGTCCTTTGCGGCGCGCCCAGGTGGCCTTTGGGCCACCCTCCCTGGAAGTTGCAGCCTCCCGTTCCAGCTGCACGCGTGGGGCGCCTGCTTGCTTTTTTTCCCTCCCCTTTTCTATCTCTCTCTCTCTCTCTCTCTCTCTCTCTCTCTCTCTCGAGCTCCCCAAACTTCAGGCTCTCGCCTCGATTCTTCCCCCCTCCGCCCCGAGCCCCCTTTTCGGGGGCTCTCATTAGTACGCTGTTTCCCCAGCGCAATCGCCCTCCTCATAAATTATCCGCCGTGACAAGCCCGATTCACGGCCCCCATTGCATCCTCTGCCTCCCCGCACCCTGCTCGACTGGCCCGAGCCGGGGGCGCTTTCCGAGGCGCTGGGGTGCCAGGCGGGTTCTTCTCCTTCCTCCCGCGCCCACCGTCTACACTGGCCCGGTTCACCCCGCCACTGGAGCGCCGCGGAGGAGGAGGGCAGAAGGGAGGAGGAAGGCAGGGGAAGGAGAGCGAACGGCAGCGAGTGGGAGAGGCGAAACCAGGGGAAGAGACGCGGAGAGAAGGCGACAGGAGGAGAGAGGGGGACCGGGGGCCGCGCCCCCCCGCGCCGCGCGGGGTTTAGAAAAAGGCTGGCTTTACCATGACTTATGTGCAGCTTGCGCATCCAGGGGTAGATCTGGGGCTGCGCGGGCGGCGCCGGGCTCGGCTCGCTCTGCGCGCTCGCCTGCTCGCTGCTGGCAGGGGCGTCCTCCTCGGTTCCGGACGCCGTGCCAACCCCCTCTCTGCTGCTGATGTGGGTGCTGCCGGCGTTGGCCGAGGCGCCGCTGGAGTTGCCCAGGGAGTTTTTCCCGCCGTGGTGGTTGTCGCTGCCCGGCGAGGGGGCCACGGCGGAGCAGGGCAGCGGGTCGGGCGGAGGCGAGTGCGTGGACGCGGCCGGCTGGCTGTACCTGGGCTCGGCGGGCGCCGCGCTGGCGCCAGCCGCGTAGCTGCGGGCGCGCTCCCCGGAGCCAAAGTGGCCTGAGCCCGAGCGGCCGACGCTGAGATCCATGCCATTGTAGCCGTAGCCGTACCTGCCGGAGTGCATGCTCGCCGAGTCCCTGAATTGCTCGCTCACGGAACTATGATCTCCATAATTATGCAACTGGTAGTCCGGGCCATTTGGATAGCGACCGCAAAATGAGTTTACAAAATAAGAGCTCATTTGTTTTTTGATATGTGTGCTTGATTTGTGGCTCGCGGTCGTTTGTGCGTCTATAGCACCCTTGCACAATTTATGATGAATTATGGAAATGACTGGGACATGTACTTGGTTCCCTCCTACGTAGGCACCCAAATATGGGGTACGACTTCGAATCACGTGCTTTTGTTGTCCAGTCGTAAATCCTGCCTGATGACCTCTAGAGGTAAACTCGTGCACTAATGGGCGAATTGGGTGGAGGCGAGAGGGGTGGCGCGCGCGCCCCGGGCGCGTGCCCGCCTCCCGCCGCCGCCGTTCAGTCGGACTCGAGCGCCACCCGCTGGAGGCCGGGCGCATCGCTCCGCTTCCGACCCCGGGCCGCGAGGGCCGGGGTCGAATTGAGGTTACAGCCCATTATGGCAAAATTATTGCATTTCCCTCGCAGTTCCATTAGGATGTACCAATTGTGAGGCCGTCAGCTGCCGATCGCGCGCCCGGCGAGGATGCAGAGGACCGGGGTGGGGGGGAGGTGGCGACTCGGATTTTATTTACAGCAACTTTATTTCGCCCGCTCTGCAGCCCCTCGTATGTTTGTGTCGAGGTTGGGGTCGGCTCTGCCCGTCCTGCTGGCAGCTTTGGATTTGGGAAAATGCAGATATCACCTTCTGGGAAGGGAGTGGGGGAGGCCATGTAGCCGATTGGAGAAATAAATCCTGCCCGCAGCAGCAGCTACAATTACGGCTCTGTTTTTTGAGAGCGCATGAGGGACAGGGTCCCTGCCGCTCTTAAATGACAGGCGTCTGTTAAAGATAGCTTTTGTGCAGTGTTTCTCCGAGGCGAGGTCAGATCCCACACGCTTCTGTAGCCGGAGTCGATTTTTCTTTCGTGTAAAAATGGTTTTCGTGTCATTCATTTGCTATTTGGTTTGTTCACGCATCCAGCCTGGAGAATCTTCAGAACGGGGTGCTCCTGTTCCTCGAGCCAGCCGGGCCCCAGATCGGAGGGTTCTGGGCGCACCCAGCGGGCGGGCCCCGGGCTCCCTGAGGCCGCGGGGGCCGCTGAGGGGCTGGAGGGCCGTGGGCCGGGTTCTCGGGGTCTCGTTTAGATCTCCAGGGGCGAAAGGAGGGAGCTAATGGAAGCATTTCGTAGCGGCGCCTAGCATCTCCGTGGTTATTTCCCCGGGCTCCGAAAGACGAAAGTAAACCACAAATGCAACCGCGAGGCCGGGGCGGTCTCCCCGCCCGAGGCCCGGCGCCGCGGGCGCCCCTGGCACGTTCGGAAGCTGGGACTTTCGCCGCCCCCATGGCTCTGGGCCCCCTGGTTGGGTCCTGGAAGCTGCTGTGGCGGCGGCGCCGGCGCTGTCGGAGGCGAGGCGCGGGAATCCAGAGCAGGGAACCCGCGGGAGCCCGCGTGTTCCCGGGGCGGTGAGGGTCCACCCGCGCCCAGGTCGGCCGGCCTCCCCTGCGGCTGTTTCTCTCCCACTGACGGTTGCGCGTCGGCCCGAGGCTCGGCTCTGTCGGGGCCCCCTTTGTTCCTCGAGCTTCGGCCTGTCTGGGGGCGGCTTGAGAGGCCGCGACGGGGCTGGGGCCCTAGCCCGTGGTCCCCCCTCTTGCCAGGGGCTGCAGTTGTTTTGGCGATGCCCTTCAGAAGTTAGTGGCGGACGATCGAGGCGGCGGCAACGCCCAGACACCAAATCCGGCTCTTCCCGGGGCTCTTTCCTCGCCAGCAACCTTGCATCTCCAGCTCGGGGAGCGCACGGGCGCTAGCACAAGAGTCGGGGACGACCTCAAGACGCGCCCCAGGACCCCGGAGCAGGCTTAGGCAGCCCTGAAGAGCGAGACTCTCGTGTGTGTGTGTGTGTGTGTGTGTGTGCAGTGCGCCTCGCTCCACCGCCGACTGTGTGTAAGATGTTTTTGTTTGTTGTGTTTTTTTTTTTTTTTTTTTGTAAGAAATAAATGCTCAGGCGCTTGCAAAGCTTGGGCTATCCTGAAGCCGCTGAAACCCCATGGATGCGAGCAGGCGGGGAGAAAAGTTGGGGCGCAGGCAGGCAAGGGTAAGGGGGCCAAACCGAAGAAAGTCGCAGCGCTGGCCTGGTCCCTGCCCAGGCGTCTACTCGCCCGCCTTGGCCTCCGAGTCCTCCCCGCTGGGCTGGGTGGAATTGATGAGCTTATTTTCTTTCTTCCACTTCATGCGGCGGTTCTGGAACCAGATCTTGATCTGGCGCTCGGTGAGGCAGAGCGCGTTGGCGATCTCGATGCGGCGGCGGCGGGTCAGGTAGCGGTTGAAGTGGAACTCCTTCTCCAGCTCCAGCGTCTGGTAGCGCGTGTAGGTCTGGCGGCCTCGGCGCCCGTGGCTCCCGTACACAGCACCTGCAGGCAGCAATGGGCGGGCGCCGGGTGAGCGAGGGTCCGAGGGGCCGAAGCAGTGTGCCCCACGCCTCTGCCGGGGCCTCTGGGCTCGAAACCACTCGCCTCCACTGCACACTCTCCCGCCCTGTGGAGCCCAAACAGGGCTGGATGGGAGAATGTTCCTTTATAGCAAGAGACAAATTTTCAACCCAAAACGACTTGGGGTCAGAAATTACTGATTTTTTAAAAATCTACCCCATAAGAAAACCATTATGAGCGAAGTAACAGAGTGGAGGTTCTTAATTTGGGACAGTCAAGTCTGTTTTGGTGGGGGTGTACTGGAGGGGGGCATAGGTGAGTGTGGAGACCTAGAAGTGTGGACACAGCTCACCACTGTGGACACAGCTCACCACTGGGCTCTATGAGGCTGCCACTGTGGCCGCCTGATGGGGACTCAGGCATGGGGGGGGGTGTAGTTAAATAGGGTCAGCTCTCTCAAATCTTCGCAAAGTCTCCCAGATTATATGACCCTTCTGAAAAGCACAGACTTCCTTGGGGGTTGGGTGGAGTCGGTTTTCAAGTAAAACGCTGTAAATTCACAAAGCTGCCTTAAGTTGGGTCCTGCTCGAAGGGGAAGGGGATTCCCCGTGGAGTCTTGGGAAGCCAGGGGTGACAGGATGGCACTCGGGCCGCCTGGGGCCGTCTGGCAGTGTAGGACGGTGAAGGGGCTGTCCTGGTGCCCGCAGTGCCCATGGGTAGCATGATCCTCCCAGGCTGGCCATGGGAGACTCAGGCAGGGGCACAGAGGGAGAGAGAAGTTGGCCAAGAGTGGGCAGCTGAGCTGCCAGAGGAGTAGGGGAGGGAGAGAGAGGGGGAAATCCTGAGGGTGGGGATGTGGCCCTGCAGGGCGTGGAGAGACCCTGGGAGAGGCCAAAGGGGGCCCCTCGCTCTCTGTGGCTTTGCAGAGAGGGGCGTCATTGGTGGTGCCGGGCTGGAGGCCCTCCCAGCTTGGGCGCCTGAGCAGGGTGCTCCCAGTTTCAGCACTGGGCAGGCACTCCCTGAGTCTCCAAGTTGCCCCTGGCCCAGGTCTCACCTGCCCTAGCAGTGACCCCCACACACACCTGCCCCTGAGTGTCACCTTACGTGGACACGGGCGCCCCGCCTTTCCTCTACTACGGCCTGATGGTCCCACGAGGGGGAAGGCTTTTTTTTTTTAATTATTATTTTTAAAAACAATCTCTTTAAAAGCCAAAGAAACTTGGTTCGTTCTTTCCTCCTTCCTCTTGCTACCCCCACCCCCGCTAGGACCCTGTTCCTGCCTGCCTCCCCCCTGACTCCCCAGTCCTGGCGAGGGCCGCAGGGCAACGCCTTACCCGCGCACGAGTTCATCCGCTGCATCCAGGGGTACACAGGGCTCGTGTACTTCCGGTCGGTGCCTTCCTCGTGGAGGGCTTTGCCCTGCACGCCGCTGCTGTCGGGTTTGTACTGCTGCTCGGGAGAAAAGTGCAGGTAGTCCCCCGGGCCCCTCTGCTTGCCACTGCCCGAGGGCGAGGCGCCACTGAGGTCCTTATCGGAATAGAAGCACGAGGCCCCGTACTCGTAGGACGCCCGGTTGCAGGCCAGGACGGAGTTGGACTGTTGGTAGAAACAGGGTGAAGTGTACGTCTTGTCCGGAAGGCTGGACGCCCCGTACGAGGCCGGGAAGGGCCTCAGCGCGTCATAGCCGGCCGGGTAGAGGGGCAGCTGGCCCAAGAAGGAGTCCTGGCCGCTGGGCAGGCTCCCGGGGAAAGTGGGATTCACAAAATAGGAACTCATTTGCGCGCCCCTCTTCAGGACTGTGATTTGTTGTGTATTAGTACATCTGGCTATAACTATTAGTAGTCATCGAACTGGTTTGTTTCTGGATGGCCGAACGCCAAAAGCGACAGCAGCAAATCGCACCAGCTGACGCGGCGGCGGCCAATGGGAGCGAGCGCCGGAGCCCGCTCCCCGGGGACCGCGGCGACCGAGGCAGCAAAGTTACAAACAGCCCCCAGCCCGCCCGCCCGCCCGCCCGCCCGGCAGATTAATGGGCGCGCACAGCCAGCCGGCCCGGCTCTCCTCCCGGACGCCGGCGGCGGGCACAGCCCGGGCACGCCATACAGCTCGGACCCCGGCGGGCGGGGCACCAGCGCCCCGGCCGCCGAACGGGCCCCGCCAGGCCTGCTCTCCCTTTTTTGCCTCCTTGGATTTTGCCGGTTTCCCCCCTCCATACAGGAAACCTGACAACCCCCGCCAGGAGGGGCGATGACAAGGACGGCCTGGCTCCCTGCCGGCCTGCCCTCCAGGCCTGGCCCTGCGCTCCCCTGCCCGTGGGTGCGCGTTCTGGAGCTGGAGAACGGGTAGGAAGAAGCCAGGCCGCCACGCCTTGCCCTGAGCTTCCGCAATCGGTGCACCCCCTTGTTCTGTCCTTCCCCCCACCCCCTCCCCAGGACAAGGCCAAAGACAGGACCCCGGCCACCAACCCTCCTCCACGCAGTCCGGGCTGTTTGGAGTCCCCAGGGTTCCCTGGCAATAGCCAAATCTTCCTGGTCTCAACACAGCCCCATCAGCTGGGTGCCACCGGTCAGTCTGAACGCACAGAGGTTCCAGAAACTGCTGGTTTCAACAAGAAAAGACTCACACAGAGGAAGCTGGCTGTGAGCCCCAGCTCCCAAACCAGCAGTGGGACCTGCTCCCCTCACCCGGTGACCCAGGATTCGCCCTCACCAGCCACCAGAACCACCCAGAGCTGGGAGGTTCTGTGGGTCCTCACTCCAGAGGCTCAGGAGTGGCAGGGCCCTGGCAGAGGTGTGCACAGACAGTGGCCCTGCAAGGCCGCGAGATAACGGATGGGCTCCGTGTGCTGGGGTGCGCCCTCTTTCTTGCCCTTCCTGACATTTCTCTGGGGGCTCCTGCTGGCAGCTGCTCCGGAACAGGGGCTCCAGAACAGGGGAATGGTTGGTTCTCAGGCCCCAGAGACCCTGAAATGCTTCCCCTCGGTGTCCCAGGCCTGGCTGTCCCCAGATGGGACAGGAAAAGGCTGACCCAGACTGCTCTCTTGCCCGGGAGCTGTGCCTTCGAGATAGTGGGTTTTTCTAGCACACGGATCAATCTCGTTTTATAAAATGTGATATCGGTCCAATGGCATTTTTACGACTGTGTGTTGGGCTCATTAAAGCCCCATGAATTAGCTGTAAAACCCGCAATTCAGTGGAGGATGAAGAGGGACTGCGATTTGGCTGGATTCTGGAGGTTGTTTACAAGATCTGTAAACCCCTGGCCAGTGCAGGCTGATGCGTTTCAACACTTAGGGAGGAGACGGCAATTGGCAGGTCTCCCATAAGAATCTGCTAACGACTTCCTTAGTGTCTTCCCTGCTTTTCGATCCTCCCCCCACCCCGACCTGCTTTTCCCCAAAGGGAAACAACGGGAAGGGCCTGGCCTGGGTGCCCAGAGCCACTAAGGGCACCCCTACCAGCAGCTGCACCTTGGGAAGCCTTGCATCTCGCCCCAATGCACCCAGCCCAGGAAACTTTTTTCTTCACCTATAAAAAAATAATCTCGGAGGAAAGGAGAGAATTTGGCCTTTCCCTTGCATTTCTTCAGGGAAGGAAGCAATCAATGAAAATTAAAACCCAAGCATCAAAAAAAATAAATAAAAAAGGTATTTTTTTAAGAGAGCCTCGTTTGAAGAAAATCATGTTTGACTTATTGTTTTTTAAACAACATCAGATGACAGGGATTTCAAGCAGGTTATTATTGAAAATGATAACATCATTTTGGAGATGCTGACAAATGTTTACATTTATAATTCTCCCTCATTTCTCCACAGCCCCCACAGGGTTGGGGCTGGTTTGTTTGCTGTTATTATTTACTAGGTTCTGTCCTGGATTCCCGATCTAATAATTGCTCCAGCCAATGAAAGAATTTGGTCTGCCAGCCAAGCGCCAGAAAACATTCTATTTCTGGCTTCTGTAGGAACCAAGATGAACAAATATATTAAATTGAAATCTTTATGTGTTAGCCAAGCTGATGCATATCACATTGGCAGCTGACCAATTTATTTCTCCAGCCGCGCACTCACACACACACACACACACACACACACACATATATATATATGACACGTGAGAGAACCGTCCCCGTTCAGGCAGGGACGGGAGCCCCATATCCTCCAGCCGGCGTCTCCGGGGAAGGGGACAATGGTCACCCCAGGACTCTCCCATCCAAGCCGCACAGAACGCCCACTTACCTTTGCGCTTTTCTCCGAGGGGGCAGGGTGGCGCGCGGGGCCTCACTGTCCGCCCTTGTCCTGAGCTGCCCACTGAGCCCCTCCACCTCGGCCAGCCTGGAGGGGTGGCCTGCAAGCGTGCATGGGGGCGGCCCGGAAGGCCCCCTCGGTAGTCCAGGCCAGAGCCCAAAGCCTGTAGGTGCGGCCTCTGCCTGTCACAGGCCCTCATCTGCAGCCAGAGCCCGCCTTCCTTGCCATAGCCAATCCTCCTCAGGGCCAGCCAGGCCCGCAGGCCTCAGGACCACAAGTGGTCTCTCTGATTTCAGCATCGCAGAGCCAGCGCGTTCCCCGACCCGGCGTAAGTCCCCAAGGCGTCTTGGGACGCTCAGTTTGGACAGAAGCAGCCGTGACGTGCCAGGCGGCCTGTGCAAACCAGTCTCCATGGTGCTGGTGTGGAGGTGGGGGGAGCCCCGAGTCCATTCCGCAGCCAGCTCCTGTCCTGAGTGGCCGAGGCGCAGAGATTTCCCGGCCAAACAGGTCCTGGGAGACCGTCCCCCAGGTCCCCGTTCGTCCCCTTCTTCCCTGCTTTCTGGGGAATCTCTGAGGGCCCCGTGCAGCGGTCGCGCCAGGCAGCAAGAGGCTGGCTGCGGCTGGCGCCGGTCCCGGCGACGACCACAGCGTGGCAGCAGCGAGCGTCCGGCTCAGTCGCCATAAATAACCTGTCCGCGGCAGCCGCAAGCAGGCAGCCCGCGGCCCCACCGTGCAAATGTGCCGCTGTATCTGCTCCGAGCGCACCCATGGCGCGGCGAAAGGTCCCAGACATCCACAGCCCCTTGTCGATTATACAACACATACAAAGATCACAAGATGCGGTAATAGCCGCAAAACAAAAAAACAGAGAACTCAGACCAGAACCGAGGGATTTTTTTTTTTTTTTTTTGGTCGCTGTGCCGGGAGATCTGGGGGCAATCTCTGGCCCAATGCGCACCCAGGCCGAGCCACGGTGCGTGCCACTGCGCTACGCAAAGCCACTGCCACCTGCACCCTCTGTGCCTTCTCCCTGGCGGCTCCGAAAGCAGGCAGAGCCGGGGCGCGGGTGCCAGTTCACTGTGCCCAGGTGGGGATGGGGCGTCCCCCTGTGGCCCAGCCCCGGCTTGCGTCCTTCCTTCAACCTCAGCTGCGGGCCCCTGGCGCCGGTACTAGCGCGACAATGCCCTCCGCGCGGAAACTTCCCACCAAGTAGCACTCGATTAACCCCATCCTCTCCTCCAACACAGAATTCATCCTTGTGCCTATGCCCTCTCCCAGCGTTCCAGACGCGTCTCTCAACGGAAAACCGGCCCGAAGGAAGCAAGCGAGCAGCGCAGAACTCTGGCTGGATTAGTAAGTATCTGTCTGTCCCCCATTCTACCTTCCCGAACCGGTTCCCACGGAACACAAGGCGCTCAGCTGGTGCTAACAAAACGCCCAAGCATTAATGCATTTTACCCTCATCTCGTCCCACCTTCCCAGGTCGGGAACTGTTGGGCACTTCAATCGAATCCATCAGACCGTGAATAATAACAGTATTAAAAACCCAAACCGGAGAACCTGGCGGGGGACGCAGATGCGGGGCCACTTCCTTTTTGGGCTTCCCGGGGTCGCTGGGGAATAGAGGATAGAGGAGCCCAAGCGCTGCTGTCCCTTGCCAGGGCGCCCGTGCCACCGAGGGAAGGCAGGAGCTCCCTGCCGGGGTGAGCACGGGAGGGCAGAGGGAGGGAGTGGGGTGCGCGCGCGCGCGTTGCCGCGGGCGTGAACGGGTGCGCGCGGGCGAGGCGGAATATGCCCCCTTTGGAAGCCGCCCCGGGTGCCCTCTCACACGGCCGCCGCCGGCGCCAGCGGCCACCTCACCACCTTTGCTCTTGTCTCCTCCCCCCTTGTCTCACCTCAGACCGCGGCTTCCAGGAGCTCCGGCCCCTCTGACAGCTGTCGCTTGGGCAGCCCGGGAGACGAATTGTCCTTCCTGGTGCCGGAGGACGCAGGACATTAGCCAGGTTGCCAGCAGCGAAGCGGCCGCCGCGGCGCCGGGAACTGGGCGCGCCCCACCAGCAGCAGAAGCCGCCAGGCCTGGCCTGGCCGGGGCTTCCCCTCGCTCGCCATCGCCGGACAAAGCGCAACCGAGCCGGGCTGGAAGGCAGAGCTCCTCCGAAGCAGGCAGGACGGAGCGGAGCGAAAGAATGCGGCTCTATTCTCGCAAGGGAAATTATAAAAAAGTTCATGTTCACGGTTCCCATCCACATGACCGACAGCGGCCAATGGAAGGGCCGAACAACTCATAAAGTTGTATTGCAAAGTTGTAAATTTTCATAAACAACAACGGATTTATGACCCTTTCCCCATCACTACGAGGAGGCGGCTCTTACACCGGCGCCATCTTACCGCCGAGGCCGCCCTGAGTCGGGGCCGCAGGTTTTGCAGACCCCTTTGGGCCAGGTTTTTATGAAAAGAGCCCCAAAGCGCCGGCCCAAGCCACTCAGGAGAGTGGAAGGCAGGCCTTGGCGGGACAAACTCAGGATGCTCAGACGGCCTCCCTCGCCCTTCCCCGCACCCAGACGCCCCCGCAGAGGCTGCGCAGCCAGGGGCTCCGGCCCCGGCCCCTCCCCAAACACCTCTGCCGCAGTGCTGGACCCTGGGGCGCCCACGCCTCGCCTGAGGGCGGGGTAGAGGCTGCGGCAGATGCCCCAATCCCGCAACCTAGCCCAGGGCCAGGTTCAGGGCGCATGCGGAGTCTGCGACCAGCCGCTGGCTAATGCCGGTTTCCAAGCCCGCTGCGTAGCCTTAGCCTTAGAGGAAAGGCCGGGTTTGGAATTTGCTTATTTTTTTTTCTAGGGAGATTCATGGAATATAATGTACCTATCGAAAATTATGTTTTCAAGGGTCCTAGAAGATGATTGTGCACATGACAAAACCCTGACCAAATCCACCAGAAAGCCACATCTACAGTCATGGAGGGAGGGAAACACAGACACTCGGTTGAGGACAGAGACACGCAATCGGGGACACAGAAACATATGCACCCAATTATGGACACGGAAATACACACAATAGTGAATGCAGAAATGCACACCCAGTTATGGAATTACGTAAAAATACAAACATGCACAGAACCAAGTAATATGTACAAAAATGGACAATACAAGGTAACACACATATGAAAGTGCGAGTTATGAACACACACACACACCCCTACACTCGGACCCCAGGATAGTCCCTGCCAGTTTTGCAGGCCCACTGCCCCTCTGGGGGCACACAGCCATGCTTGTCCCCCATCAAACTCCTCCTCGCATACCCCAGGTCCCTTTGGATAAAGCAGTATGGGTTTCTTTGTCACCAAGCATCTTTATTTTTCTGTTACATAAAACATGGTTAGCTGGGCTGGCAAATGTGCCTTCCGTGCTCCCCAGGCTGGGGCTGAAGGGGACACAGGGTAACACAGGAGATGAAGGGCACTGGGAAAGGCACGGGACCTCCCTGCCCACTACAGAGTTAGCTCAAGACAACACACCATGCTACAAAGTCACCCATAAACATATCCAGCCAGAGTCAAGACACTGCCTTACAAATGAGCTCCAAGACTATAGAAATGACAAAAAAAAAAAAAAAAAAAAAGTTCAAATATACAGTATTTTCCATTGTAGGAAAAGTCAGGGTATACATAATTGAAATGGCTGAACAGGACACAGGGGCCCAGGGAGTGGATGGCCAGGCTGGGAGCAACTCCAGAGCCCTACTAGGCAGAGGCTAGCACAGGAATGCTCCCCTCCAGAGTGGGGGTGTTGGACCTGAACACTTGGGGGTGCCCAAGCCAGAGAAGGAAGGGTTCTGGGTTGCAGCACTTCGAATGCTTTGGAATAAATATATTATTTTTTCAATTTAAATAGAAGCCAATGCCCTGGTCCCTGGCCCCCAGTGCCTTCTCGATGACACCTGAGGGACCCAAAGGGCTGCCTGCTGGAAGCAGTGGGGGCCTTTGGCCTGGGCGGGGCCCGTGATAGGTAGCAGGCAAGCCAGCCAGCACTACATAGGTAGTTTGGGTGAGTAGGTAGTACAGAGTCAGGTTCTTGCGCGGACGCATATGGGAGATGGTGCTGGGGGTCTGCCAGTGTTGGGACATGCTGGGCTTCCTGGAGGCGGAGGCCCAGTGGGGCTGGGCCCATAGGTAGTCTGGGGAGGCCCCAAGAAGAGGCCTGTGCTAGGTAGTATTTTGGCTGTGCCAGTACCGAGTGGCTGGCCTGGGGTAGGGGGAAATTTGTCCGGGTCCTCCAAGCAGAGGGGATCCCCCAAGGTGACCCAGTCTCCGTGCCGCTCAGTCCAGAAAAAGTGGGAACTTGAGTGGGTGATGGGGTGGATGGGGTGCGGTTTGGGGACTGGGGTTTGGTTTTTTTTTTTTTAATCATTTTATTGTTTTCCCCATTTTGTAAATAAAACCAGTGAGTCTCTTAAAGACGCTTTTCCGACTGTCCACTGCAGCCAGGGCCCCCAGCTGGGCCCTGCCCCTCATTCTTCCTCCTCTTCCTCCTCTTCATCTTCATCGTCGTCCTCGTCTTCAGCCTTGTCGGCGGCAGCGGCGGCGGCGGCAGCGGCGGCAGGCGCAGCGCCCTCGGGGGCTGAGGCGGCCGCCTGCCCCTCGTCCTTGTGCTCTTTCTTCCACTTCATGCGGCGGTTCTGGAACCAGATCTTGATCTGGCGCTCGGTGAGGCAGAGCGCATGGGCGATCTCGATGCGCCGCCGCCGTGTCAGGTAGCGGTTGAAGTGGAACTCCTTCTCCAGCTCCAGCGTCTGGTAGCGCGTGTAGGTCTGGCGGCCCCGCTTCCTGTCGGGTCCTGAGACAGACACGTGGACACACGGACAGAGAAGCAGACAGGGACACGGACAGGACGGTGCATTAGCCGGGCCGCAGTCCCAGACCCGTAGCTTCCTCCCCGCCCACCCACACACCCACCCACCCCCCCTGGATCTCATCCCCAGGCTGGGCTGGGGGAGGAGGCCGGTGCAGGGGAAGACCCCAACTGCAGTGCCCAACGCGCAGGCAGCCCTGTAAAGCAGCAAAGGCGCGCAACCCCAACCTCACCACCGACCTTTCCAGCCCGCTACGCATCCACAATGTGCCGCTGTCCCCTGACAAAGGGAAATCGCAAATGCAGAGTGTGGGCAAGTGGGAGACCCTCCCCGGCGGCCGGCGCCCCCATCCCCACACCCTCCCAAGGGCACACCACCCCTCTGTCCCTAGTCCCTCCTGGCCCTGTCTTGAAATGGCCCCTGGCACGGAGGCGCGTGAGGGGCCCTGCATGGCTAGGCTCTCCGTGTTTTGGAGAAAGAAAAGCCAGGCAGAAAGAAAAAAAGAGAGAAGAGAGAGCGAGAAAGTGAAGGAAGGGAGGGAGAGAAGGAGAGAACAGCGAACAAAGTTAATGTTAAAATTCCAAGGCAAATGGAGTTAAATAAATTTACGAGGATCGAACCCATTAATTGGGTCATAAAAAGTTTTATGAGCCTCATTTACATACAATGCTATGGGCTCTCCACGCAATGGCGCCTCAGCCCTAATTAAAACCAGAAAGGCAGCGCTGCCCGGAGTCACCGGGCCGCCGGCTCTCGGCCGCCCGGCTCTGCTCTCCCCAGCCCGGCGCTCCGCGCTCCGAAGCGCGGCACTCCCAGCTCCCGGCTCCCGGCCCACCCGCCGGCCCGCCGACCCGCCTGGCAGCTGCGCCTACCTGAAGACCGCATCCAGGGGTAGATGCGGAAATTGGCCTCGGCCGGGCCGTGCAGCGCGCCCTCGTCCGCCTTGTCGCAGGCGCCTTTGGCGAGGTCCCCGCAGAGCCCCGGGATGTTTTGGTCGTAGGAGGCGCAGGGCAGGTTGCCGTAGGCGTCGGTACCCAGGCCGTAGCCGGACGCGAAGGGGCTCTGGTACAGGGGGCTGTTGACATTGTACAAGCCCGGTACGGTCGAGGCGAAGGCACCGGCGCCCGCCCCGTAGCCGCTTCTCTGCGAGTTGGGCGCAAAGGAGCAAGAAGTCGGCTCGGCATTTTGGAACAGAGAAGCCCCCGCCGTATATTTGCTAAAAAGCGCGTTCACATAATACGAAGAACTCATAATTTTGACCTGTGATTTGTTGTCCGGCAGCTTTCAGTGTCGGTTTTACGAGGTAGCGTGATATATGATAACATTACACCCCCAGATTTACACCAAACCCCATTTTCTTTTGGACGGAGCTCGCCGCAGCACGTGACCGCCCACATGACCGCCTCCGCCAATCTCAGCAGCCCTCACAGGTGGTCTGGCTCCACCGAGCCCGCGGCTGCCTAGAATGGAAGGAGAAGAGGCTCAAATATGCGGCCGACGAATCTGCCCGCGCCCGGCAGGCCCGGCGCGCCCCGCGGGGAAGGACCTCGCAGCTCCGCGCGGGCGCCCTGCGGCCCTGCGGCCCTGCGGCCCGGGTGCGGAGACTGCGCACGGCCGGACGCAGCCGACTCCCTAGTGCGTGTCAGTGAACCCTGGACCAAGCTGGTGGCTCCCTCTCCGTTCTGCGGACCAGCCCCTGGAGGATGCTTGTGTCCCGCGCCCTCGCCTGCCCTGCGGTGGCCTTGAGTGCGGCTCTTGGCTGTGGGCCGGGCTCTTGGCCTGCGTCTGCCCCAGCCAGGTCCAGGGGGCGTCAGGCGGGACTTAGACCCCCGCCCGGTCGCGGCCGGCGCGGCATCGCTTCCAGCTGCAAACTGGAACCATGTGGTTCGAATAAAATCAACGTCTCCCAGCTTCCTTTCCTTAATCGGCGGCGCACTGTTTATCCGCCCTAAAGGAAGCAGTGAAATATTTATCTGTTAATGAGCCTCATTTGCCAACAGATTTATTAACGTGGGGTTCCCCTCCCTCCTCCCGGACGCTGCGGCCCTGCAGGCTGCGTGCGTTCACTCCTGGGCACCTGGCTGGCCTCCCGATAATGGCCGAGCCGAGCCCTTCTTTGTCCTCCCGCAAACCCCCGGTTTTCCCTGGCTCACGGGGAGCCAGATCTCTCACCCACCACCCACCCCCGCATCTTGTAAAAACCTCAAGCCCCACACCTCTCCAAACGCCACCCTTGCCATGTGGTGCCCCGCAGCCGTCACCGCAGTCACCCCTGAACCTCCACCTCGTGGGCTGGGTGTCTGGGAGCAATCTGGAGAGAAGAGAGGGGGCTGGGGAGTCCCAGTTCTTTTGGCTACTGCATCTTCCCGTGTACAAACTCGCTGGGAGCTGAGAACACTGGTCTCCCTCCCTCCCTACCATCCAGGTCCACAACTCGTGGTGCCTACCTTTCCAGGCCTCCAGCCCCTGCCCGGTGTCGGCCCATAGGAAGCCCCCGCTGCCCACCGCTCCCTTGGAGTACGGTGGGGCAAATCGTTCCCCTAAACGCCTCATAAACTGCCCAGCCGCGCTGGAAGCCGGGCCACCTTTTACTGCCCGGCTGGATTGCACACCATAAACCCGACCTCACAATGGAATTGCCCCGGAAATTCTTCTCTGAATTATAGAGTTTGGTTCTGGTGTACAAAGCCCTCCTCATCCCATTCGCAGGGTCCAGGCCGTCCCCTGTTCACTGCACCCTCTCGGGCGGGGGTCCTGGGAGCACAAAAGGCGGAGGGGGTGTTCAGATCCTGGTGCAGGGGGCCTCAGCTCCTGCCCGGCGACCCGCCCAGGCTTGCGTGGGGAGGCAGGGGCTGCCTGAGAGGGGGCAGGTAGGCGCTGGGCTGTCTCCCATGAGTATGGGAGTGGGGGCGCAATATCCGGGGATGCCCTTTATGGTGGATCTGGCTGCTTCCACTCCTCAGATGGCGAAAGGAGTGGGTAAGATGGGACAGGAGAAAAAAAATCCACCAAATATTCCAAATAAGTGTCGCCTTCCGGCAGGAAATAAAAACATGAAAAAGTTAAAGGAAGACGAAGCAAAGAAGAAGCAGCCCAGCAGATCAAAGAGGCGGAATTAGACGGCTTTAGACCAATAAATTGTTCTTTGGGTGACACACGGCAAGGCGCAAAAAGAAAGGCCCGGGCCCGCCGCCGCCGTCTGTCTAGACGCAGGCGACAGCGACGGCGTTCTGAGCAGAGCCCGCCCTAGGCGAGCTCCTACTCACCCCCCAGCCCGAGTGGGCCGCGATTTCGCGGGGCCCGGGAAGTAGCGCGCGTCCCCTTGCGAGTGAGGACTGGGTGCCTTGCCTCGGGCTTGTCTCCGGGCGGGTCTTGCCCGGCGCGCGTCCAAGCGATTGTGGCAGGACGCACTGTCCCTCCGCGCGGGCCAAACAGGATCCGGATGCTGCCCGCGAGGCCTCGGCCCTTCGGCGCCCACGTTGGCCAACTGGGCCGAATCCCGCGGGCACCGAAACTCTCCTTTCGTTTCTCGGCTTCTCTCCGTCCCTCTGCCTTCCGTGGTCGGGTTGTGAAACGAAAAGATGCACAGTGTCAAGCTTTCGGGGACCGCCGTTTAATCGCGTGCAATCGGGCCACGGATTCCCCATTTATTTGACCGAATACAGGCGGGAGCTCTGGGTTATGCGTGATAAGAACAGAAACGCCGGCTGGCGCGCAGCCTGGCGCAGGCACGTGTGGGCGGCTTTCCAAGCGGGCGACCGATTGCGGTTGGCACTTTGCACTGCGCCCCTAGGGCCGGCTTCCCAGCCCCCTGGCAGTGGGTTTTCCTTGCTGCCAGAGTCCCCAACCTTTAAATGCAGCTGAAAAGGTAAACCCGGCTCTCAGCCGCAAAGGGCGCCTGTCGGAGAGCCCGGCGGCCGGGGATGTGCTTCTCCAGACTTGCTTCCACCTGGGGAACCGTCCCTAGCCTTGGCGCACTTGGGCTCTGGCCGGAGTCGGGTCTTGCGTGGGCGAAGGCCCGCATCTCCCAGGCAGCCTCCCAACCGGCCAAGGGCAAGCGAGGCCCTACCGGGCAGTCCACCAGGCCTCGGAGACCTGGGGCGTCCGGCACCTACCTGGGGCCTCTGAGGTCGGTGGAAGGGAGCGATGGCCACCGACCTGCGGCTTCGTGTTGAGAACGCAAATCGAGCTTTCCACTGTGCGCCCCCCGGTCGGGCTTAGCCGTTTATTTGCGGTTTTACAGTAAGTGGAGCTTGCTACCTGCGGCTTGAACCCCGCCATGGGCGACTCAGGGATGAGCTAGAAAATGCTATCAATCAGATGCTTACAGAAATTAAATGAAGCCGGGCACACACCAGCGTGTGTATTTAAACACGGAGAGAGGAGAGACAGGGAGAGAGAGGAGAGGAGCCACGTCAGCCAGAAGCCGCCCCCGGTTTTACTGCGCGTGCAGTTCGGAGATGCGGATCGTAAACGTTTTGTGGGCTTGGCAAAGACGATTACGACCCAAATAAACGCACGGTGCGGCGCGTTCACAGGGCTCGGGGTGCTCCGAAGCATTCTGTTGGTTTTGCGTTTCCTCCAGAAACCAAGGCACACCCGGGGCCGATCCTGGCCCCTGGGACCGGGGACAGGAAGCGCCCAGGATTGGGGTCTCCTCCCGGCAGGGCCTTTTGAGCGAGGAACCCCGGAGCAGCCTTGGCGCCTCTAAGGCCGAGGGGAGAGCGCGCAGGAAAGGCAGGTTCCACGACGTGAGCGCCAACTCTGCAGCAAGGGTGTTCTCATAATTATTTTTACAAATCACATTTATTTGAGAATGACCAAAGCAGGTCCTGGGCTGTCTCCCGGGTTTCTCCATCCGGGCCAACTCCCGGCAGAGCTGCACCAATCTCCACGAATGGTTTTTATGCCCAATTTTCACCGCTTAATTTCATCGTCATGTTCTCCAGCCAGCTGAATCCCGGGGTCCCGGCGCTGGCTCGCCAGGCCCTGCGCCCAACCCTGACCCCGCGCAGGTTTCGCAGGCCTGCGGAGCTAGGGCCGCGCCGTGCGCCTCCGTGCGCCCTCTGCGGGGTCGTCCGTTCCGGAGGCTGTAGGCGTTTGTCCCCGCGTCTGCCGCCGGTCAGCTGAAGTGGGGGCGGTCCCCGCGCGCCTCGCCGTCCCAGGCCTGTGCCGAGCTGGCCGTGGACAGTGACCGTGGAGTCGTCCCTGTGCCAGGCGCTGGGGCCCCGCAGCCGCCCGGACAGCCGCAGCCCCGCAGGGAGGTGGGGGGGTCCTCGGGTGGCTCCCGGGAGGCGCGAGCGGTGCGGGTCACTCCAGCCCCCGCTGCGTGCTTATTTCCCAGCGAGGCTTCCAGCCCAGCGTGAGCAGCACCGAAAATATGCGACTGCGGTTCATTGAAGCTGGGGCTCCCATTCTAGAGAAGCTCGCGTCAAGTCGACATCTTAGGAACTTCCAGGGGTGGCGGCGGCGGGAGATGGCGGCAAGGAAGCCTCTTACGTGGAGCCACACTGCCATCTGCTGGCCGGGCCTGGACACTGCAGCCGCGGCCGGCCTGAACTTCGGCGGCGGAGGCCGACTCCCCGCACCGCGCCGCGGCCACTCCCGGCCGAGGCGGGGCGAGGGCCCAGTGCCCCGGGGGGTCTGCGTGGAGCCCGGAACCTGCGCTGCGGAGGGGGCGATGCCCATAAAAGAGAGCTGTTTCCGCAGCCGCTTTATCGGCGGCAGACGGGGGGCAAACAAATGAAAGAGCTTTGGTAGAATATCCTAATTGGGGCTGGACAGTTGTAAACTCATTAAGGGCCGAATTCCAGACGGTTCGCAGACCGGGCCTTTATGGCTCACCCTTACTGCCCACGCTTTGAAGTTCCTCGGGTCTGCGACAACAGAGGGCGTCCCAACCTGGCGTAGGGCTGGGGGGGGGGGGGCGAGGGGGCGCCCCACCGCCCGCGCCCGGGCTCCCCCGAAAGCTCCAGAACGCCGCCGGCTTTGTGGAAGCCTCGAGGGGGAGGGCGACGCGCGGGAGGAGACGGGGTGGGGGCGAGGGCGACCACTCCGGCCACATCTGCAGGCCGCTGCGGCCTCCGGAGGGGCGTGCGTCCCCCCGCAGCCCTTTACACCCCATAAACCCTAACAGCCCTCATTTTCTTTTATGGCGCTTCGGGGCGCCGCGGCTGCCGCGAGCGGCCTTCCCGGGCCGGGCTTTGTGCTGCATCCACGCTCGCTCTCTCGGCGGCCGGGGCTAGCAGAACCCGGCAGTGCGGGGGGCGCAGGCTGCCGCGCGGGGCGCCTTGGTCTCCCGCTTCTCGCTTGGGAGCCTGCTGGGGTGGCACCCCGGGCCTTGGGTGCTGCCGCCGCGCCCCAGACCGCGCGTCCCCTGCCCGCGCAGGCCTTGAGCGTCTCCGTGGCCTGCGCTCGGGAACTCGCCGCGCCCCCAGGCCTCCCCGCCGTCCCGCAGACCGGGGGCAGGCCCTGCGCTCGGCCTGGCCGCCGGTTATCCGGCTCGCTCCTCTGCTTGCTCCGCCGGGCGGCTGGCTGGGCCCTCGAGGCCTGGCTGCGGCCGCTCCCGCAAAACTAGGGCTCCTTCCACCCTCCGCAGTCCCGGCTCCGGTCCCCCACCCAGGCTCAAGGAGCAGACCCGCAAAAACAAAAGTAAACAAAAGCACCATAGGAAAGAATCCATATATTTTTATTTTGGCAAAAAGTTAAATATTTCAACACAACAGTTTGGTCAGTAGGCCTTGAGGTAACTATTGCAAAACAGTGTGTGTTCAGCCCGATGGGGAACCGGGAGTCATCCAAGACACACAGCCACCGTCGCCCAACGGCGGTTCCATGTGTGTAATTTATTCTCAATAAAATCAACTCCATAAAACAAGCATTGTACCCACCCCACCCCACCCCCTCCCCCATTACAACGAAGCCCAAGCCGTAGGTAGGTAGGTAGTCGCTTCTGCACTCGGTACAGCCCCGCACCTCCTGGCTGCTCGCCCCGGGCCAAGCCGAGGCACGGTCTTCCAGCCGCTCCGGTTCTGTATTGGGCACCGAGAGGGGGCCGAGAGGGAGCCGCCCTCCGGGGCCTGCAGCATTTCGGAAGCTGGGTGGGAGTCGCGGCGAGGGGAGAGGACACCAGGAAGCTGTGCAGGCTTGCATTTTTTTTTTTTTTTGCAACGTTCATTTCCCCGGAGACACGTACAGCGAGTGCACACCAGCGGACCCACGGCCTCTTACACAGAACACGGTCCCACGACAGAGCTACACCCTATGCAATGCCCCCTCCCTGCTAAACACCCTGAGTTCCAATCGAATGCCACCTAGCACAGGAGTTTGAGTCACAAAACGTAATCACCACACACACACACTCACGCACACACACCCACAAAAACGCAAACGAAACAAAAAACACAGTGTTCAAGTATCTGGGCAGAGGGCTCTGCCGCACAAAGCAAATTAAATTAGCTACAGACTAAAAACTAAGCAGCCCGCCTCCAGTTGTGCGTTATAAAAAGGTAGTTTTTTTTTCTTTTGTTTTAAGTCAGGAACAGGTAGATTTCTTAAATATATACAAGCTAGCACACAGAGCCGACAGCGCTAATGCCTCCCTTGTTTCTTCTTTCTTTCTCTTTCTTTCTTTCTTTCTTTCTTTCTTTCTTTCTTTCTTTCTTTCTTTCTTTCTTTCTTCTTCTTCTTCTTCTTTTTTTTTCGTGTGTTTGGATGTCTTACAGAAAATGGAAAGCTTACAATACCTCCTGCATCAAAAAGACTGGCCTAGGAGCCGGGGGAGAGCAGAGGCAGGGGTGGAGAGCCGCATTGTGCGGGCTGGAACTGAGAGAGGGAGCCGCTGCCCCCTCTCCTCTCTCTCTCTCTCTAGTTCGCTCTTTCCCACGCGACCCCGCAGGGCGTCACTCGTCCTTCGCCCGGTCCTTGTTGATCTTCTTCATCTTCATCCTGCGGTTCTGGAACCAGATCTTGACCTGCCTCTCGGTGAGGTTGAGCAGCCGCGCCACCTCGTACCTGCGGTCCCGGGTGAGGTACATGTTGAACAGGAACTCCTTCTCCAGCTCCAGCGTCTGGTGCTTGGTGTAAGGGCAGCGCTTCTTCCGCGTGGAGCGCGCGTGCAGCCAGTTGGCCGCCGGGTTATCTGCGGGGCACAGAGACACTGCGTTGAGCGGGAGCAGCCGCACCGAGCGCGGGCCGGCATCCAGGGAGCCTGCGGCAGACGCGACGCCGCGGAGCCTGCTTGGGGAGGCAGCCGGGTCTGGGACGCGATGGTCCCCGGGGCGGGCGTACGCACTGACGGGCACTGACAATGGCGCACAGCAGCGAAACCTTGGCTCCCCTGCCCTCCGCGGCCCTGCGGCCCCCTCCCCGCTTCCACGCGCTGCGCAGAGCGATCTGGAAACCCAGCTCCCCGCCAAGTACAGGGAAGCTACGCTGCCCTGCGTCCTGGCACTGGATCTCTCTCTCTCTCTCTCTCTCTGCCCTTCCCAGCCTTCCCTTCTCTATCCCCCTATTTATCCTGGGAGGCCTAGCTAGCCAGGCAGGCCGCTGGGGTGCCTCCAGCGCCTTCGGACAGGTCTCCGGCCTATTCTGAATCGTCAGGCCACGGGAGTCCCAGTGGCCTGGGCGCCCGCGACCGCATCTTGGGCGACATGGACGCTGCCGCCGGCGCAAGGCATAGGGGGAGACAGCCGCTCTGCCAGCGGCCGGGCTCGGGCTGCCCCGGCCGCCGCCGCCGCCGGCCGCGCACAAAAGACTCTCTCGATCGCGCTGCTTTCGAAGAACCGCCCCGAGGATCTCTCTGTCCCCGGCCCAGGCAGCCAAGGAGAGGGGCGGCCGGTCTTGGCTCGGCCCGAAGTTTCGCCCGCCCCGCCCCCCTCTCGCCGCAGTAGCCTTTTCCCCTCCCCCAAGGCCGGCGGACAGGCTGGCCACTTCGCCCTGGACTTGGGGCTCCCATCTCAGGAGACCCAAACACCAACTTCTGCTGGCTCCAGCTCATAAGGCTCCCAGCGTGGACGAAGGCAGTCTCGAGGAAAAAAAAAAAAAAAAGACTGGCAGGCTGGCAGATCCGGGTGGCCGGCGTGGAGGCGGCGGCTGGTGCGGAGGGAGGAGGCACTTACTGGGGTCGATGGGGGGCTTGTCTCCGCCGCTCTCATTCTCAGCATTGTTTTCGGAGAAGGCGCCTTCGCTGGGCTGTTTTTCTCTATCAACTGGAGGAGAACCACAAGTATAGTCAGTCAGGGACAAATTGTGAGTGTCAAGCGTGGGACAGTCACCCCTTCTGGCCGACAGCGGTTCAGGTTTAATGCCGTAAGGCCGGCTGGAGGGCAAGCCCGCGAAGGAGAGCGCGCCGGGCGTGGGCTCCAGCCAGGAGCGCATGTACCTGCCGTCCGGTGCCGCCGCCGCCACGGGCGCCTGGGGGTGCACGTAGGGGTGGTGGTGGTGGTGGTGGTGGTACACGGCCGCAGGCACCGCGCTGGCACCCGCCGCGTGCACCGGGCTCCACGAGGCGCCGAACACCGCCGCCTTGGACTGGAAGCTGCACGGGCTGAAGTCGGGGTGCTCGGTCAGCGCCGCGGCGGCCGCCTGCCGCGGGGGCTGGCCCAGGGCCCCCGGCGGCGCGTAGCGGCCGGCGCTCAGCTCGTCGGCGGCGTCCGCGCCCAGCAGGAGCGAGTCCACGTAGTAGTTGCCCAGGGCGCCGGTGGTGGCCATCGCCGTGCCCCGCGCCCGGCCGGCCCAACCCGACCCGCGGAAATTATGAAACTGCAGATTTCATGTAACAACTTGGTGGCACCAGGGGGGAAGTACAGTCACCTAATAAGTCGCCAGCGCCCGCGCCCCCATTGGCCGCGCGCGTCACGTGCCCGCCCGGCAGAACAATAACGCGTAAATCACTCCGCACGCTATTAATGGCCCGGTGTTTTGCAGTCATAATTTTTATAGCAAAAGCCATATGTTTTTATGCAAAGGGATCGCGCCGCTCCACGATCGGGTTTGTTTTAATTGTGGCCAACGAAGATTAAAAGATCAACCCTGGCTTTGTCTCTGTTTCCTCCCCTGCCCCCCAATCCCACCGGACACGCGCGCGCGCGCCCAAACACACGGACACACACACGCGCGCGCGCTTCTTAAGCGGACTATTTTATACCACAATTAATCACGCCATCGGGAAGGCGCGGGTCCCGCGTGCGGGTGCGGCCAGTGGAGCCCCTCACATAAAATTAGACAATAATTGAAGCCATAAAAAGCAGCCAAATCGCATTCTCGCTCTACTGTATTTAAATCTATATTTATGATATTTCATAAGGAGTTATTGTTTCCGAAGCCACACGGGCCGGTGGGAAGTCGGCGACGACCGACAGATTCCTTTGCCTCGCTGTGGCTCCCAGCTGTAAAAATTTATGAGGACTTGGAAAGGTTAAATTAGACTGTTGTGTTTGGTCGGCGCACTCCCTGTAAATAATCGCTGCGGTCCCTGGGACGTGGGAGTTTACCCTCGGCCGGCCCGGAAAAGTCAAATTCAACGCGGTATCGCTCCCAAACCGAGCCGCCGCCATCCCTACCCCAGCGCACCGGGCAGGCACCGGCCACCGAAGGGGCACCGCCCGGCGAGGGCGCCCCTAGCCCGCCAGACTGGCCGGAGCCCAACACTCGCCCTGGTTCCTCCACAGCACGGGCCCCACCGAGGAGCTGGCGGCCGGAGAGCAGCCCGTTGGCCCCAAGGCGAAGAGGCTGGAGGGCCTGGGGGCGCGGCGCGCCTGGCCCCCGGCCCGCATCCACACGCACACGCGCGCCTGGCTGGGCGACGGCGGAGAATCCGGTTTTCCGCGCCGGCGCCGAGACCGCGGACGACCTGGCTCCGTGCTCTGCTCTGCAGGCCCTCACGCTGAACTCCAAGCCTCGCCGCGCTCCCCGAAACCCAGCCCGAGCTGGGAAGAAAACACCAGGCCGCCTCGGTGGAAGGCGCGCTGGCCTGGCAAGAAGGCACCCGCGCGGCGCCAGCGGCGGCTGAGCCCGCACCCAGCGCTGAGACTTGCGGGCCCATGTGAGCCTTTCGGGGCACCGCACCGGGCTACCCACGGGGCCGGGCGGCTCTGCAGAGGTTCCGAGGGCCCTGAGCGAGGCAGTCGCCCTCAAGTCCAGGGCTAGAAATGAGAACGGGGGAGGGCATATCGGCTTGAACCCCATCCTTTCTTCGGCCGGGCCGGGCTGCCCAAGTTATTTCTCACCGCGGGCAGTCTCCAGGGGTGGGGGTGAATTAAAAGGCCTCGGTAACTCTGCTAATTGGAAGAAAAAAACCCACCCCAGTTCGAGCGGAAAGGCTGCTCCTAGAAACGTGGTAATTAAATTCACGTGCGAAGACTGTGCCTGCAAGAGTGTGTTTCTCATTAGCCCCCTTCCCTGGCGGCCAGTCTGGCTGCCTCGGGGTGTGCCATCCCTCCTTTTTTTTTTTTTTTTCATTATTCTTTTCTCTCTCTCTCTCTCTCTCTCTCTCTCTCTCTCTCTCTCTCTTTTTTTTTTTTTTTGTCTTCACCCTCACCAACTGTTCCATTAGCCATTCCCCCTCCTCTCGACCCCCTGAAATATTCCCGTCCAGGGCGGCGACCACCGCCACCCCGTGCCAGGCTCTTTCCGGGTGCAATGCTACGAAGCAGCAAGCAGTGCGGGTAGGACCCGGCACCCCTTTGCCTGCGCCCGCCGGCATCGGGGAAGTAGCCGCTGATACAATGAACTCCGACGTGGCCGTCCGCACCGCCTCGGCCCCCTCCCCCTTGATACTTTTCTCTCCCAGTAAATGTCTCTGCACCATCCCCAGCCCCATCGCGGCCCGAAGTATCCCAAATATCCGGCTGTGCTCTCTGAGTCTCTGGGATTTTCATGTTTTAAAAATCAACCGGGAAAAACCCTCCTTGCTGAGTGCAATTGTCTGCAACGGGGGGCTGGGCACGCCGGGCTGCCTTGTTCACTCTGTGTACCCAAGAAGACACAGATAATTAGTAATTTTTCTAAAATAAAAAGGCTGTTCTGTTTCATAGCCTTCACGCCCAAACAGGAAAATCACTAAATAATTAGTAGGCGTTGAGTAGTAGCTATTACCAGTGACAAGGAGGTAAGAGGAGACCCCAAAATCAAAAATTGTCCCCTTCCACACCGGGGGACATATTGGGGCCTGCATATTCTGACTGTGTCTGTTGGTATTTGACAAGTGAGAAGGGTTGCAGGTACATAAAGGATACTACATGGAGGTGCTCATCACAAGCGGCTCTGGGGAGGAGGCCAGTCTTCTAAAACCTTGGTGCCAACAATGAACCCAATCTCCTGGCCTAGAAACCAGCAGCAAGGAGTTGAAAGGAGCAGCTTCTGGGCCGCCAGCCTCAGGAAAGAAGGGAAGTGGAGCTTTGCAGGCATGGGCTCAGTGCACTTGTGTGTGTGTGTGTGTGTGTTGGAGGCAGGAAGGACGTTTCTTTGCAGTCCCCCGTGAGGAGAATGGTCAGGCTGGCTCCCGTCTGTAGACTATCACTTGGACCAAGGCCTCAAGTTTGTCTCCCAGTGCTCTGGAATTTGGGGGTCCTTTCACCCATTTGAAACATCCCGGCGCCTGGAGAGGCCCTCTCCAGCTCTGAGCCATCCAAGGGTGCCCTGCCTAGCATTCTGGGCCTGGTAAAAAGCCACGGGCAAATTAGCAGTCCAGCTATACCCCAGCAAGGCTCCGTGGCTGGGAAGCCAGAGCTGGGGAGGGTAGCCTGCAAGAGCCTGCTTAGCCGCCCGGGGCCACCTAGCCAGGCTGGGCCTCAGACCTGGTCCCAGCCGCGGGCCTCCCGCGAGGCTGGTGAAGGGCTCCCATGCCTTCGGTGTGGCACACAAAGACGCCGCCAATGTCCCTGGTCGAGCCTCCCAGGCGGCTTTTCGCAGAGTAGAAACGCAAGGCCGCCGCCATCCGGTCGTGATCGTAACCGAGGCCTTGTTGGTCCAGCGGCAGCCAGGCCACAACCAGACCCTCCACGGCCGCCCCACGCAGGCCCTTTCCCCAGCAGACTTCACCGACCTCACTGGGGTGCAGAGAAAAACGAGAGCTCCAGGCTCTCCCCAAGCCAGCCCTGGCCCACTCCCCAAGGATGCTTTGGAAACGACCCGAGGAGGTGAGATAGGGACCCGGACAGACACTGGGAAGGGGAAGAAGGCAGGCAGGAGCCACAAAAGAAAAAGGAAAAGGAATTAAAGAGGAGGCAGGCAGGGGAGAAAAGAGGCAGAGGCGACTCCTGGGAGCCCAGGGGGCGCCTACGGAGAGAAGGGTAAGTGACAAGGCCAGGAGCCCGGCCTCTGTCCGCCTGGTCTCTCCTAGTTCGGTGGGGGTCTCCCTCTGTCAGAGGGCTTTTTTCTGAGCTCACATGAGGACTGTGTTGTGCATGCGTTCCAGCCTTGTAAGAGAGCGACGGGGTCCCCAGCCAGGCGCAGGCCTGGACCAGGGGAGGCTCGCGATCCAGCATGCGCCCCTGACCTTGAATGGCCCTGGGCCCAGAATTCTTACCACGCCCCCGGCGTCCGCGAAGCAGCCCCTAACCTGACCGTACCTGCTCCGGGCCTGGTCGGGGGAGGGGATGACGAGGAAAGCACGAAGCTCCTGCGCTTGCTTGGAAAGCCGAAGTTGCCGCCGCAGGCCTGGCACGACCAACCGAGGCCTTGATACCCCGCCCGGCCCGGCCCCCGCGCGCACAGGTACCTGGAGACGATTTCAACTGAAGTAATGAAGGCAGTGTCGTGCTGTCGAGAGAAAGGTGGATCCCAACAACAGGAAACTACCTAAATCACCGACCAGTTCTGGTGCTGCCCGCGCGGGGCTGTCTCGCCCTCCGCCGCCGCCGCCGCCGCCGCTGCCGCCGCCGCCGCCGCCAAGGAGAGAACCCCGCGATCGCCCGGCCCAGCCCCTGCTCAACCCGCGCCCACCACTGCCGCCGAGTGCCCCGGGAGGGAGAAGCCACCGGCCCCAGCTAGGTAAGCTTGGGAGTGAGGGAGAAGGGAGCGAAGGCCAAAGGAAGCAGAGAAATGCAGGAGTGAAGTAGGCCAGAAGACAAGAACGAGCGGTGCGCGCGCGCTGTGTCCCCAAATCTTGCAGCTAGGCGAACCGGCGCCGAGCGGCGGCAGCCGTGGGCAACTCGGAAGCGCCAGGGACAGCACGGAGCCCGGCTCCCTGTCTGGCTGCGCGGCCTCCCGCGCTCGCTCTCCCCCTCGCTCCCTCGCAGCCATCCGCCTGCCGGGGCGCGCGCTCCCGCGCCCCCTCCCCTCCCCTCAGCGCCCCCCCCCCACTTCGGCGAACAGGAAGCGCGTGGCCCCGCGGAGGGCCGCCAGGTGGGGGAAGCCGTGCTGGGGGAGGGGGCGGCCCGTCCGGGGTCCACCTAACTGCTGCCGCAGGCGCTGGTGATGCGCTGTGGGCCCGGACTGCTCCCCGGAATTAGGCGGGGGTCTGCTCAGGCCCGAGCAGCCGAAAAATAATCAGCCTCCGGGAGCCTCCCCGAGGGTCCGGAAAGAAATCTTGTTCGGCTTGCTCTGTCTATGCAGCGCCCCTCTGCACTGAAACCACTGGTCCAAGACAGCCACAATCCAGATATACTAGCAAGTCATAAAACTGAACAAAAGCCGACAAACCTTACGGCACCGGGGCTATAGGGTCCAGACAAATTACGACCGTCTAGGTAATATTTAAATAGATGCCT